AGGATCTTCCGTGACCATAGTCCTGCCTAAAGAAGGGTGACTGTGTGAACCTCCTCCAGGCTGGCTTCTTAGAGCTCTCAGAGAGCTGCTGAGAAAGTAAGGCTGAGGTTGGGAGCCCAGTTGGAAGTGTTTTCCTATTGGGAAGATTGGGGGGTGGGGGGGAGACAGACCCAGGACAGTCATTGTAGGAGACATGTGGCCCCTCGAATGCTGTGCTTCCCTGACACACCACAAGAGCCACTGACCTCATCTCCTTTGCCTGTGAGGCATCTAGTGAAGATGGAACCCTCCACTGAAATGTTTTATTCTTTTGTGTTGCAAGCAGATTTGACTGTTTCTTAGGGAACTGGAGGTCAGTACTTGTTTGAGATGATAAACATAAAAAATTCTATAATTTGGTTTGGTTTCTTTTAGCCCCAGGGTTTACCTTTAAGTGCAAAATTTCCAACGGACACTTTATGAAATATGTGAACATTCCTCTCTTGCAATGAAAATTGACCTTTGAGTTGCTCCAACTTTAACTGCCCAAGTCCAAGTCCAAATACAAAGGGGACATTCCTGTGAGCACCTGACATATAAGGAAGAAACAATGAAGAATTTCCCTTATTGCTCATCAATATTGAAATGATATGGGAACAACTCACAAACCCAGAGGGAGAAGCAGGTGAATATTCCCCCAGCACCATCCTTCTTCCTGTTGGATCTTGTCATGGGCGTGGAGAGCCCTGGTGAGGGGCAGGAGGGTGTGAGGGGACTTGATACAGAAGAAGGAGGTGGAGAGTCAGGTGGTCCTAATGGAACTCCATCATCTTCTGCAGACTGGAGCAGCCCTTTGGTGGGGCGGGGGGTGGGGGGGCTTCTGATGCCCAGGAGTGCTTAGCTGGTTGGGTCAAATGTCGTGTTATATACTGGTATATTACACAGGTAATTCAGTTGCTTTCAGTTGGAGAGTGTTTAACTTACCTGGTCTGCGATGAGGTGACCCCACCTTTTGCCTTTCCCAGGGGAGAGTCATCCCAAGTTCCTCTTCCAGGAAACCCCCAGGAAACAATTAAACACTCTGTCTCCTCATTTCCGGGACTGGGGTTGATGTCTGCTTATTTCCTCATTGGGACACACTTTGTTGTGGTTGTGCCTTTTCCCCCCAATACAACATTCTTTGGTCACCAGAGTCAGAAAAGCCATGGGATAATAACATCTTCTTGTTGGTGACCAGTCATCATTATACTGCATGTCTTCAAGCAAACCCTCCAGGCATAAATTTCAGTAACTTCATGTGACTCCAGAGAAGAGAACACAAATGTTGTAGGTAATATGCCAGCCATAAAACTGAATGGATAAATTATATCTATCCTCACTCCAAAGCCTTGCTGAAAAGGCAGGTATGCATTTTTGTTGTTGTTGTTTATTTTCTTGCCGGTTCTGAGAGTAGGATCAGGAGCACAGAATTTATCATGAGACAGCTCTTGATTCAAATCTTAGTCCTACTGAATACTCTAAGGCACTTAACTTAAGAAAGCCTCCAGTTCATATCTATAAATATCCATGAAATAAAATACTAATAATAGTTCTCTCATAGAATTGTTTTGAGGATTGACCATGGTGATGTCTATAATGTGTTTCACGTAGTACCAAGTACACAAGGAGTGCTAAATAAACAAGGCCCATTGTTACTATCACTGGAATCCTACCAGGGCGATTCTATTTGTTTACTTGCATAGAGAACTGAGCTCCTGGAGAGAGTGACTCTT